CATACATACATACATACATACATACATACATACATACATGTTGGAAATCAATTAAATGATTTATTTCTTTTTATTTTGCACTTACTACATGGTCTAGATTTTAATTTAATCTACAATTAATGTAATTGTAAGATAGAAAGGAATTTTAATTTTCTGTTGCAGACAAGGATCCGTCGTGGTAGATGCTGATCTGCTATTCAATAATGTGACAGTTCTACCAAATACTAGTGATGTGGCTCAAACGTTGGTGAATGCTTCCTCTGCAGCAAATTTCTCCCTCTCTGTCAATGTGTCTACTATAGCTGCAGAAAGTAAGGAATCACATATTCACAAAATGTCAAGTGTTGCAATTACTGTAACATAATCACATTTTTTTGTGTGTTATTCTATTTTTAGATGTTTTGGTACCAGCTATAAATACAACTACCACACCTATGATTTCAACAGTAGTCACAGGTATGTTTGTGATATGTTTTATATTGACATTTTTTATTTCGTCTGTTGGATTATTTTATTACCAAATGTAGTTCTAACAATCAATATAATTCCAGTATACATTTATTTATTTKAAGTTGTCTAAAGTTAAAGGTTAAATTAAAAAGGTTTCACCACCAGTATCTACAATACTTAAAGCAAATTCAGTAACAATCAACATGACCTCACATCTGCTGAGAGCAACTGATTTACTAGTTAGTCCAAAATTTACTGCATTCAACACAACCTCTACACTACTCAATATAACTTTATCTACATTCAATGCAACTCTTCCACCAGTCGTTACAACTTCATCAACATTCAGCATCACCTCAACACCACTCAATGCAACTTCACCACCAGTTAGTGCAACTTCACCACCAGTCAATGCAACTTCACCAGCCTTTATTAAAACTCCACCATCCAACATAACCTCACCACCACTCAATGCAACTTCTCCACCAGTCAATGCAACTTCACCAGCAGTCATTACAACTCCACCATTCAACATGACCTCACCACCACTCAATGCAACTTCTCCACCAGTCAATGCAACTTCACCAGCCGTCATTACAATTCCACCATTCAACATGACCTCACCACCACTCAATGCAACTTCTCCACCAGTCAATGCAACTTCACCAGCAGTCATTACAATTCCACCATTCAACATGATCTCACCTCCACTCAATGCAACTTCACCAGCAGTCATTACAATTCCACCATTCAACATGATCTCACCTCCACTCAATGCAACTTCACCAGCAGTCATTACAACTCCAAAACCATTCAACATGACCTCACCACCACTCAATGCAACTTCTCCACCAGTCAGGTCAACTTCACCAGCAGTCAACACAACCTCACTTTTGATTAATACAACAGGTAATTTATTTATTATGTCATTGCCTTATCCAAGAAATCACAGCATTTTAGGATATATTTTATGATTTTTTATAATGTATTTAATTTATATTAAAGATTATAGCCGCTCACAGACCTCATTCACTTTTCTACATGCAGCACGTTATTTTAAAAATGTAAAATTGCAAATGTACTGCAGCTAGTCAAAGATTTTATTTTTTTTGTGAACACTAATAAACCTGTCCAATGTTATAGTTTAGGACACTTCACCCTTTTTAGTGGCTCAAATGATCACATCATATCCTTATCCAACAGTAAATTCTAGCTAATTGTCAGACTATATTATAAAACAAACCTTTTAAGTTTTAATTGTCTTGATAAAGAGATAAAACCATTTGTAACCACTTTTTCTACAGAATACATATTAAAATAATATTCTCAGCGATGGTGAGATTGAAATATTGGTACCACTTTACAATAAGGCTCCTCTTCTAGATGGCTCATACATAGATTATAGTTTTTTAAATTCATCTGTAAAAACTTTATAAATCAATAATGAATGTTTATTATGCATTAATTAAGGACAAGAAAGAGACAAAACTGTTAGGTTTCTTGCCAAATAGTGAGCCAAATCTGTTCATGTACACATTGCATCTAAAGGTGCTATATTAAACATTTCAGACTTACTTAATACTTGTAAGCATAATAATGATTTGGAAACACATGTTTTTTTATAATATTGTACTGTATTACTGCATTATACATATCCACAATTATCAAAGTGAGCCTTATAATAAAGTGTAATACATTAAGTACACTATTTATTAATGACTAATAAACGTGTATAAATGTTAGTAAGTGGCCTTCATAATAGTGTACTGTTTTACACTTTACAATAAGGTTCSCTCATTATTAGTCATTAATAAATAGTGTACTGTTTTATACTTTACAATGTAACTTAATATGAACATAAACAGATTTGGCTCACTATTTGGCAAGAAACCAGACAGTTTTGTCTCTTTCTCGTCCTTTAAGTAGTGCATAATAAACACCTATTAATGATATTTATAAAGTGTTAACAAATGAATTAATGACCTATCTATAAACTATTTATAAGCCATTTATAAGGGGAGCCTTGTTGTAAAGTGGAACCAAAGTATTTTATTAACACATTTTAGGATTTCATACTTTAATATTTTTATTTAGGCATTTTGTTTTGTCAACCTAATGAAAATAAACCCATCCTTACTTACTACACCACAACTTATTACATCCCCATCACTCAGTGGAGTATTGACACCAATCTTCACTTTGTTTACACCTGCTAATGAATTGTCTGGTAGCCTGTTTAAATGTGTGAGTTTTGTCAACCCTTTTCTGCAGCATAAGACTATACAGTAACATGACTTTTTTTCCTACTTGCAAAGTTTGATAGGGACAATAAAATAATTCACTTGTGTCAATTACCCAGCAATAAATGCAGCAACCAACGGAACAACTCTTACTTCTGCAACAACTCTGACATCAGCAACTTCCAATGGAACTGCTACTACCATAACTACAGTGTCCCCCACCACCACAGCAAACACAGCTCCTCCTACAGCTGACGAAGGAGCCCTGAGTTTTAGGTTTAGTCTGAATCAAACTTTTACAAATGATCTTTCTGATTCACGCACACCGGGGTTTCAAGCTTTGGCCACCAGTGTGGTCAATGAGGTAAGTTTTTCTATGATGTATTTTAATATATATCAGTGTGCATACATCTCTGAAGTATATTAGTTTATATTTAAATTTGTAGTCACAATACACACAGGATTATCACAGGACCTTTCAAATGCAACAAAACAAAACAGCCGTATTTTGAGGAGACCTGTTATACAGTATTTGAAGTTCCTGTAATGTCGTTTTTCAGGTAAACAGAGTGTGCAGACTTGTCTATGGAGGRCGTTTCCTTCGCTCTCTTGTCAATGCATTCAGGTTAGAAAAAACTACTTATTTGAGTTTTCAAGAAGACATTTTGGTTTAATTGCAATAATAATAATAATGTATCTCTTTTGTAATCACAGGAGCGGATCTGTGATTCCAGACATGACTCTTGTGTTCAATAGCAGTAGCGCTGTCCCCACGGCAGCTGATGCAACTACAAATCTTGGCAATGAACTTGTCAACAGTACAGTCCTGAATATTATACCAGGCAGTGTCAGTGCATGTAAGTATAAAGACAATAATAAGCTCAGTTTTATAAATTATACTACATTATTATATTTATTGATAATCTTTTGGTTTTGTACAGCCACCACTAATGTTACTACTACAGCTGCTCCTTCCACGGCACCATCTACTACTAACAATGTAACAGCTGCTTCAACTGCTACTACAAATACAACATCGGCAACAACTGCTACTACAAATGCAACATCGGCAACAATTGCTACTACAAATGCAACATCTGCAACAACTTCTACTACAAATGCAACATCAACAACTACCACTGGAACAACTGCTACTCCTGCAACGACTGCTACCACCGGAACTACATTAGCCCCCACCACCACAGCAAACACAGCTCCTCCTACAGCTGACGAAGGAGCCCTGAGTTTTAGGTTTAGTCTGAATCAAACTTTTACAAATGATCTTTCTGATTCAACCTCGCAAGTGTTCCAAGTCTTGGCCATTAAAGTGATCAACGAGGTAAGAATTTTCCGTGGTGTATCAATGTGCATACATCTCTAGTTAAGACTTCTAGGCTTATCACAGAACCTTTCAAATGCAACAAAACAAAACAGCTGCATTTTGAGGAGACCTGCTGTATTTGAAGTTCCATAATGTTGTTTTTCAGGTAAACAGAGTGGGTAGACTTGTCTATGGAGGACGTTTCCGTCGATGTCGTGTCAATGCATTCAGGTCAGAATAAAATGTATTTATTTGTATTTTCAAGAAAAACATTTTGGTTCATTTACTTTAAAAATGTCTCTCTTTTGCAATCTCAGGAGCGGATCTGTGATTCCAGACATGACTCTTGTTTTCAATAGCAGTAGCGCTGTCCCCACGGCAGCTGATGCAACTACAAATCTTGGCAATGAACTTGTCAACAGTACAGTCCTGAGTGTTATTCCAGGCAGTGTTATTGCATGTAAGCTTAAAGATAATGAGCTCATAAATGTATGTCTGTTTCACAGATTTAATAGAGTATTACATTTATTGATAAACTTTTGGTTTTGTACAGCCGCCACTAATGTTACCACTACAACTGCGCCTTCCACGGCACCATCTACCAATGCAACAGCTGCTTCGACTGAAACAACTGCTTCGACTGCTACAACTGCAGCCACAAATGCAACATCGGCAACAACTGCTTCTACAAGTGCAACATCTGCAACAACTGCTACTACAACTACCACAACCACAACAATTGCTTCAACTACTATAGCATCCACGAACACAGATCCACCTGCAGCAAATGAAGGAAGACTTGGTCTAAGATTCCGCATGGACAGAACATTTACATCAGATTTACAAAACTCAGCTACAGTAGCTTTCAAGGCACTAGCTACTGAGGTGGTTGGAGAGGTAAGACTAAGATTGCACTATAACTATTTCCAGCAGTTGACCTGCCAACCATAAATAAACGTAAATGCATTTGAAGGTCTTGTAAGTAAATAGAGATCTCTGATTGCTAATAATTAATGGAAAATAAATTGTTATTAATAAGTAATCTTCTGTGCTGCTATTTACCAGTATTACTTCCTTTCAGGTTAACAAGGTGTGCAATAACCTCTTTACACCATTTTTCCGTCGCTCCCGAGTCGAATTCTTCTCGTAAGACCTGTATTTCTTCCACTGACTGATTCTGTTTTCTACATTTTGTTATTGGCATGCTTTTCTAAGTGTAGCTTTATATGTTTTGTCATTGTAGGAATGGATCTATAGCTACAAACATGACTCTCATATTCGTGAACAGCACCACAGTGCCTTCAGCAGATTCTGCCACTCAACAGTTAAGCAAAGCGCTTAATGGCACAACCCTAAATGTTATACCAGGCAGCGTCTTTGGTAAGYCACAACATAATTAAATGAATTGGATATATTATCATAAATAACAAAAGGGGGCAAATASAATGAAAGTTTGCAAAACTGTGATTAATTATGACTTTAAAAGCAAAATGAAAGGGTGTATTAGTAATCTATTGAAAATATACTGTTTGTTGAACTGGTATAATTAAATTAAATGAACTGCACTAATACATATGCATTTTCTAATATTTCAGCATCATCAGCAGGCGGTCTTCCTCTACCCACAATGAGCACACTGACAGTCTTCTCACTAACTATGCTGGCTCTCGTACAGAGRCAGTTCAGCTCCTAGTACTCAGAAGATACAATGTTGTTTGGCTGAGTGACAAACAAAAATGACAAAACAGTTGTGCATTATGAAATTTGCCATGATGTCATGTGGTAAAAAGATGTGTCTTGTGTGTCAAAGAATAAGACAGTTATACAGTATTTTCCTATTTTGTTGTATTTAAGATACTAATCAAAAATAATTCTAATTTAAAACATATTCAGTGTATCTGTTTCTGTCAATGTTTTTTTTTTTTTGAAAAGTGTATGTTTCTTTGATTTTTGTTTTGTAGTTACTAAAA